CCATCTTTGTTGCCATATTTATTACAACGTTTCGGCCGTTGGACTGTTCTAGTTCCACGTGCCATGTTTAATGGATGTCAGTTATCAGTTATCTCCTGTTAATTCCCCTCTCCAAGTTCTCCACTGCCTCAACCAAGTATTGAACTCACACTCTTTGGGCCCTGTTACTGGATCGAACCAACGCCTTTATCCACTGTGCCATGTGTCCATACTGGGCGCGAGGGGTAAATTGTCTCCATATTATATTTTTAATTTCACCGTCTGTGAGAAAAAGAGCAACATGACGCAGTTCTTTCTGCGATTGTAATAATTAATAAATTTCATACCTTGTTTGGTTTGATTAACTCCTACTAAGCTGGGATTCTGAAACTATTTAACCCATTAGTATATGGCGACCAACATTCTAGGCAGGAGATTATCTACAATTTAAAATCTGCCAAACCTACGATTACCATTAGCCAGCAAGATAGATTAGGCAAAAGAGCTGAAATATTCAGGAAATATATGCAGTAATACATGAATTTTATTATTATTATTATTATTATTATTATTATTATTATTATTATTATTATTATTATTATCCGAAGTGAGCTAGCAAATTAATATTGTTAATGGGACAAATCTTTCAATTTTTTAAGCGGTTCTTTGAAATCCATAGTGTAGTCTCAAACGTTTATATATATATATATATATATATATATATATATATATATATATATATATATATATATATATATATATTATAAATTAATTGATTTAAAATATGTTTTTTTTTCCGCTACACAGTTCTAACCATGTTTAATTTATAATATTAATGCTCGGTAAATTTACATTGAGCACTATTTTGTAAAAATAAAATATCTATAAAAACACCGGATTATATATCTTACTGTTCTTTCTTTTATTTAAATACATACATACATACATACATATATATATATATATATATATATATATATATATATATATATATATATATGTAAAAAAAAATACATTAAAATTGAAACCGACCATTTCAGTTATTTTAATCAAACATCTTTAGATGAGTACTTGCTACTAGAATATATCTTACAGATACATAGATGCGTATATATATATATATATATATATATATATATATATATATATATATATATATATATATATATATTTTCATTGAAAATGACAGACAAGGTGCTTTTATTTATTTTTTTATACAATTTCTCACGTGATCTAATATTTTTATTTCTTTTCGGATGATAAATTATATAAAAACTGTCCGAATGTTCTTTTTATCCTTGAAAATGGCTAAATGTATAGCCGAAAGCGCTCGGATAAAAAGAACATTCGGACAGTTTTTATATAATTTATCATCCGAAAAGAAAAAAAAAATATTAGATCGCGGGAGAAATTGTATAAAAATAAATAAAAAGCACCTTTTGTCAGTCAATTTTCAATAAATGTGCATGAAAGAAGGATTGCTGCCTAAATGCACACACACACACACACAAACACACACACACAAACACACACACACACACATATATATATATATATATATATATATATATATATATATATAGGAGATGGAACAAAAAGGATAAAATACGTTAAAAATATGTTAACTCTTTACACCACACCTAGACATATATATATATATATATATATATATATATATATATATATATATATATATATATGTGTGTGTGTGTGTGGTAGGTACTCATACAGAGTGCGATGTTATATTTTTTAATTTCGCGTTGTTGTCGACTGCACAGTACAGGAAGGTCAGTTTGGCACCATCTATGAGAAAAAAGAAGACCATGACGTAAGTCACTTCGCCAGAAATTTTGAAATGGCATGCTGTCCTCGTGCAATGCGAACATTTCAGAGTGTTTGAGTGTCAATCTGAGAACAGTGCAGACGTTTCGGAAAGATTTGGAGGATTGATTACGAAGGTACGGCAGCTCGGGAAACTCCCTCTAATCGTTCTGAACTCCGGAATTTGTTGGTGAGGACCTCAGACTCAACACGGAGGCCGACATCAATTTCTATGATGGGGTAGTGCTGCCCTAGGTCAAGAGAGCAGCTAGGGGAAGACCCAGTCTAGCAACACGACTCTGCTTCATGTCAAACAAACAGGAGAACCCAACCATGGCTGTCAGACAATTTTCTGCGGACACATCACCTCTTACTCCTCAGACAGTAACCACTTGATCATTATGTATGGGGAACAGTTGAGCGAGAGACCAACACAACTCCTTGTAGCACCAAAGATGAACTGAAAGCGAGGATTATGGCGGCATTCACCAAATTAAACAAGGAGACCGTCTGTAAGAGTCGCAGGAAACTCCGAAGTTGTCTGGAGGCCGTGGTTGAATCCAATGACGTTTTTATTGAATAAATTTCCTCTTCTCTTTCGTATTTCAAGATATTTTTGTGTAATTTTTGTAAATATATCTGTTCAAATGAGATGGCAGTGTTATTTTCATTTTTGCGTAATTTAGTCAACAATTTATCCATCACACATTATATATATATATATATATATATATATATATATATATATATATAAACGCGTGACAGAGATAGAGGTTTAATATCGCATAAACAAGTGCCTGTTAACGACTGTATTCGTAAATTGCTACATTTTAACTTCTATCTATCTATCTATCTATCTATCTATCTATCTATCTATCTATCTATCTCTCAGACCATAAAAACGCCGCCCATAGAGCAATTATTCTAAAAATAAATTCGATAATGTTAATTCTCAAATCGACGGACCCGCTCAGCGAATAGCCATAATGAAATCCATTAGATAAACTTGAAATTTTCGTGCAGTGATGGCCTACATTATTCTCGGGTTTCCCTCACACTGCGCCGGGGGTAAACCGCTGAGTATCATTCTGTCTGACATTTCAGATAAGACTGCACTTTATCGGTTCTTTTCAAGTTTTTACCTATCTTGGCCTACATCAGATGAGGGTTTCCCATTCCTAATCAAATATCACCTTGGAAAGGAAACGCTGCAAAAGTGCAAGTAATTTGTTTGCAGAGAACTGTCCAAATGCATAATAGTCGGGGCATTCTATCTTTGACACAAGACCATTTTAATTATCTACCCTGTGAGAAATAAACTCAATTTTACTTAGGTCTTAGGCCACATGCTTGCTCAATCCGACGGTACCATCGTGCTCCTTCTAGCTACAGTAGTTTTCACGCTGCTTGTTTACACAATATAATAATTTATGTGATTATTGGTATTGGTAAGGCTGTCCACTAAAAGATATCAGAATTTATAAACCATATTTTTTTTTTACCGAGGGCAGATTTTTTTAGGTCACGACATATTAGATCCTAGTCTGGAAGTTGGGGATAAATGAAACCCCATTAACACAAAAACAAGATCTGTTAAAGAGTAGATGAACTCACCGAACTCACAGGCCATCCACCCCCAACTATGGGTTAAATAGCTATTGGCCACACATGGTGGGTATGACTACACCCCTGAAGACATAGTCAATCAGGGAGTGGTTCCTTCAACAGGAGTGAGTTCGTTCTAGATTTGGATTTACATTTAAAATTATTAGTAATAACAAGGTTTGATGTTTAAAACTGATTTAGTAAAGGATAATGTGTCAATCGTTAGGCCGTTAGAGTTCCGACCAAGCGCTTACTAAAATCAATGGTGAAAAAAGGCTTTCAGCGGAGAAAGCCTGAGGGTCTTAGCAAAGATCATTGGATTTTAAAATTGTGGGCTGGCGCTACAGAATCACAAAGAATCGTACCAAATAACATAAACCACTTCACTTGACTACTAACAGCGACAGCAACTAAAATGGATCTATCACTTGTATTTGGAAAAGAAAATGATGGCATAACCAAGATGTTGACATTCCACATGACTTCAAACAAAAGGGTTGGAAGGAAATCCACCCATCAATATTGGAAAGAGCGATAACAGCTACTGGACTTGAGGAACCTATATTTCCTGAAAAATTGCTTTAGGAGGTAGATTTTATAAGCTTCAACCGAAAGCAGTGCTCTCAACTAGGTTAATAAATGCCAAATGTTTCCTTGTAGGGCATAACACCTGGGCAAGAATTTCTGAGCAGCACCCTTGGGAAGTGCCTGTAAAAAATTATTGCTGGTAATATTCTTTTTCAGAAAAGTATTGCTGGTAATATTTTTCTTTTTCCAAAATGTACTGCTGGTAAAAATATCTTGCTGGTAATATATTTTTTTTCTTCAAAAATGTATTGCTGATTATTTTTTTTCTTTTTCAAAAATGTATTGCTGGTAATAATTTTTTCCAAAAATGTATTGCTGGTATTAAAACCTATTTTTACACTTTCATAGTGTTTTGACTTCAATTTGGGGGTTGGTTAACTATTTGCCCATAGCTGGGACCCTAACAGGTTACCACCCTGGGTCAGGCTGAACCTGGGAACACCGGAAATTAAGAACTCCTCAAAACCTCCTAATCAGAGTCCTTGCTGTCGGATTATCGTCTTACCCACGACGCGGATGTAGTTTTATCGGAAAATAATTGTACGGGTTGAATTAAAGCTTGTAAGTGAAATAGGGTAGACGAAACTATCCGGTGAACCGTCAGTGGTTGTGTTAGCACAATGTCACAAGTCATGACTGAGAAGAAGAATCAACGTTTGGGGAAAACCCCCAAAGACACACACCCACTTACCGGTATTAACTGCCAAAGTCCAGAGCTGAATAAACAATAAATAAAAGATTTACTTGTGATGTTTTTTTTATTGATTTTTTTTAAGGTTCATCAACTTTTTGCTTGTTATTTAAAGCCAGAAACGATTTTTAGATTGTTTGATTTTTTGTTGTTGAGATGAGATTTTAGTGATACAAATCTTACTAATTAACCCATAGCTGGGGGAAATAGGTTATGTAATACCTTTCACAAGGGTATTAACGCGTAAGTAAATATAATGAACCTAACGGGAATTAGAACTTGACTCTACCTTTAACAATTCATCACCCGCACATCCTTACAACACCCAGTATTCCCCAGCACTCATCCATATAGGTACTGACGAGGCTCGACGTTGCTTAACTTTGGTGATCGTAAGGGAACCTGTGTTTGAACATTATGCGGCCATCATCCCATTCAGTTTTGTGTTCTTATCAATCTGTACAACGACGACATTACACATACGGATTTATTTTATTTTTCCAGAACGCCTAATACGCTATATTGTTTGTTTACACATTATAGAATAGAAGTATCCCTAGCATTTCAACTATGAGACTCTGGTTCGAATCTCACCATGGTCGATTTGTAAGTTAGGTGAAGCTTAATAATATCGATTATTCCCGTGTCCGCCTTCATGGAGAGTGGATTGAAAACAATACCACAGTTTAACTCAAGCCTTCTTTGTGAAGTTGCGTCAACAGAGCTGCTGGGAAGCCGTGATTCGTTCTGCTGGCACAAAGTCACAAGTCATTATGACCGAGGGTTTGAGTGTATTGGCCTTGTTCCATAACTGATCCCGTCAGATTGTGCGCGTTTTTCTAGAAACTGTAACTAAAGACCCCTCAGTATAGTTGGCGTACAAGTTATAGGTTGCCACCACAGATATTGAATAAATGTGTCTGAGCTGGTATCTACAACAAGGATTAGGTAGCCAACTTATCAGACAAGCATACTCGTTAACGAACAGTATGACATTTTATTATTAAATTATAATTCTAAGGTACTTATTGCAACCCTTCCCGGGGAATTGTAATTATTAGGTTTATTTTAATCATTTCACCCCAAGCACGGCAATAAAGTCACTAAGACGCAAGGGAGTTACTGATTGTGAAAGAATATGAGAAAAAGAAAAAAAAATTATTACGCAGCGAGAACAACAAAAGAACAGGAACTAAGAAAACAGAGCATAACGATTGACATTGTATTTACATTTTTGAAGATCTAAGTTGGCTGGAAAGCAAGAAGTCGGAAGATTTCCACATGCGAGAAGTGCGAACTTACGGTAATACCTAGCTATTGTCAACTGTAAAAAGATGAGATTTTGCGGTCAATCTGGTACTGAGTTTAAATTCATAAAGTCTAGGTACTATAGGGGAAAGTAATATTTATTTTAAAAATACAAAAATTTGGAACAAGGCCCAAATGAGGGATGGGGAAGGCTCATTTTCATGGGGAAAAGGACGGTCTTAACTTTAAACTTAACTAGCCACAATTACTGACCCAAACATAACACAATATTCCTTACATCAAAACAACGCATTCTTACTTACCATTCTTTCTACAGTCACCATAATACCTCTATGTCTCTACGAAGTCCTAACTAGTTCATATATGTACAATTTGTCAGTGGGGTGGAGATATTTAAAAATGAAAATCCAGTGAATATTTACAATAAATAAAATTCATATATAAGAACTATACAAAATAGTGTAGTAAAAAAACCCTGTATAATCCTTAATTGTGACAGAAAAAAATCAGTTAACTGGACGAAATTAATGCGGGACGATATAATTAAGAACAATCATTCGAGCAAACACTCACTCAAACACACACACACATCCAGAGACAAAAACAATACGAAATACACAAAAACGAAAATCGCCCCGCATCTACCAGAGAGCTGGCATCTCTGTCAACTAAGGGGGAATGGGAGTGGGAATTAAACTAAAGAAAGTGGAGACAATAATCAAAGTTATATTATATTATGTACGGGTGACAAAACTTTCGGACCAACCTGTAGATGTAGGTCTTATCGTTTTACTGCCATCCAACGACTGAAAAATGTTGGTCATCATTCATCATATTCAAAAACTAAATAAATAAATGTGTGCGTATGCTTAAATAATAAATCATTATTATCCTATTAGCAGCATGGCCCGGCGTTGCCCGTGCTTGATTAAAAAACGACTCATACAGCAATCGCTATCACTTGACTTAAAATATTTTTGCTCTTCCTTGCCTTTAAAGGAGTCCCTTTGCCGTGCTGATGTTGCTACATGTCTTACTTCTTGCCTATCTCACACTGCAAATTTTTTCTAAGCTCTATTCTAAACATTAAATCTGTTACGAAAAAAGAACTAAACAAAATGAACACAAAGTGATCAGCTTTAAAAAAGGACTCATAACTGGGAAAACCGAATGAAAAAAGAATGTTAACAACAAATACTTTTTCACACCCAACCCAGTTCTGCAGAATCAGAATCAACTTGAGTTTAAGCAAGCGAATGAGCCAATTGGAGTAAAGTGCCATGCAGATTTAATTTTTTTCGATTTGTGACGAATGCAGCTATCGATTTTTTGCATGCTAGCATGCTAGTTAACATTTTGTGTCTCACGCTGGCCAATAGAATCTTCCTGCCCATTTGTGGCAGCCAGCTATTGGCTCTCACTCTGGCCATTAGAAAATGGCCGCAAACTAGATGAAAACTGCCGAGGAAGCATGAAAAAATCGATTATTTCCATTATCGATAGGAGTTGGGAAATGCAAAGTCGGTCTTGGCCTTTCCGCTAACTTGGAGCATGTGCACGTATATTTTGTTGCATATCCGTCGAGAATTGCGGTCGTGCATTCCTGTTACACACACACACACACACACACACACACACACACACACACACACACACACACACACATCCTGCCTTTTATAGATAGAGATTTAACACACACACACACACGCACACACACATACGTACATATATATATATATATATATATATATATACATATATCTTTCTATTTATATATATATATATATATATTTCGATAAACGTGCAATCAATTTACAAATTCATGAAATTTTTGTGTGAATAATTCATGAATATATATATATATATATATATATATATATATATATATATATGTTTAAAATTTGCCAGATTTTTGGACATCATCTCATAGAGAGTTTATAGACATAGACAGGAATTACAACTGAATGGTAATTGTCAGTTTAATACTGACAGTCGCCATGCAATGCTGATTCCTATTTCCACATTATATATCATTTTCACACACATATATATATATATATATATATATATATATATATATATATATATATATATATATACAGGGAGGTGAAATGTAAGCAAGCATTAGAATTGGTAATAAAATCCATATTCCTATTACAAATTTATTGAAACAAATGATGCATGTTCTTTATTACATGGGAAAATGAAAGTAATTCTTCATATGTCTTCAACATAAGGAGCGGTGGCGTCAACCAGTTTCCTCAAACAGCAAGGGATGGAATTAACAACCTTCTGAAAGACGTCGTCTCTGATATTATTAAGAATCTCCTGAATCTGTCTAAGTCCTCCAGAGTGCGCGGTTTTGTCCTATACACCTCTTTAGTGTAACCTCACAGGTAAAAATAACATGGAAGCCGTTCATGAGGTCCGCGTTGTCCCATCCAACTGTTGGTCTGACCACGCACGCACAGTAAAAGCAAAATGTAGTGGTGCATCATCCTGTATAAATATCAAGTCACCAATGTTTTCCTAGCCAGACTCTTGAAGATAGCGGTCCGTATTTATGGTGTCACGCAGAAGATATGGGTCGACGCCTCTTGTTGCCATCATTCCGCGTCACACGGTTATCTTTGGCCGAGCTTTGCATCCTCTCAGTGGTCATACTGTGATTGTTATCGCACGACACCCAGTAATGGCAGTTGTGACGATTGATGAACCCACCAACATGGAATACAACCTCGTCACTCCAAAGGATGTTTTCAAACAATTCAGGCCAACCTAGCTTTGTCTATTCATATTCCATTCTGCAGTCACAGTCTTCAGGTTTTCGCCCTTGTACGTAAATAAGAAATCCCTGTTGTCTGTTTAAAAAACGTTTTCGTCTTGACTTTAGTGATACTAAAAATTCCATAAGCAATTTCTAATGCCTATTTATTTTTCACCCTTCCTGTATATAAAAATATGTATCTTCTTTTCTGTGCCGTAACGTGGGCGATCGGGGATCTCTATAACTTGCTATTCTTTTTAGTTTCAAGCAATGTTTTTCGGTTTATGTACTGATATCCATATACACAAGCCCGTTAGATAGGTTACTCGATGGTTTCCATTGCACATTTTGGCTTCAATATGTCCTGTGTGTTTCAAATTCACCAAGCCGCTTTCCTCATTATGTGTTTCAGAAATTTCAACTGTGCCTTTCTGAATTTCGGTATGAGTTTCATTTTTTGCTTATATTTTCCTTACAACTATCTCGTTGGTTGCATACTTTGTCTATGATATTCACAGTATCTTTCTTAGAAACCACATCTCTGTTGCTTCAAGTCTTCCATTTATCTGTGAGGAAATTGTCCGGCATTCAAAGCCATATAGGAAGTTTGATACTACATCGCAGTTCTGCACTCTTTTCTTCGTTTCTAACGAGGTTTTCCCGTTTCTTAATACTTTCTTTAGCTTTAGGAATGCATCTTTTGCATTCAGTTTCATAACACATTTTACTGTCGTCTGTTATATCACTTCTCAGAGAGCTAAAACGACAACATCAGACTAAAATAAATGTTATTATTGATATGTAAGAGGAGGTTCTTCTTTTATAAGCCGTGTCTCTTCAGGACGTTAGCGATCATGGCTCTTCACAATCTCCTGTCCTTTGTAGCTCTTAATAACTATGTTTTTGTTGTCGCTCCTAAAATCTATCCCGCCATCCATTTATTCAAGCTCGCTAGGTAGGTTATAACGTTGTTTTGCTATGTCCCTCTTGCCTTCATTTTGTTCTGTGGGTATCAGATTTTCCGAGTCCCCTTTAATTATTACGTACCCTAGAAATTTCAACTTTCTGGTCTTGATGTTAAGTATAAGTGTCCGTTTTGGTTCCATTTTCTCTAAAATTTTGTCGTTATTCACTTGTTTGGTCTATGGAATTCTTAGCATCCTTCTGTAGAACCACATTTCTCTTGCTTGAAGTCTCTTCTTCATCTGTTTGGTTAGTTGTTTTTGTTTAACCTCTTATCAATTTGTTATTTAATGCCGAAATCTAAATATTTCGAACGTAATTTTATGCCTTCAACTATATATCTTACTTATTATAAAACGCAGATTGTGTGTGTGTGTGTGTGTGTGTCTGTAACTTTTATATATTGGATCGGATT